TAAATATTAAGAATTTAAAGTTTGTCGTCATTTAAAGTGTGTAGGCCTTCTTACATTATTATGCTGTTATATTATGATTATATATGCAGTGGCATAAAATGGTCTTAAAATGACTATCGCAGATCGCAGTTATTTCTGGGGCAATATATCGCACAACAAAAAGTTGTTATCGTGACAGGCCTATAATAAATATACATTTATTATCAGGGCTCTACAGTGCGACCATTTGAGTCGCATTTGCGACTGAAAACTACTGCGTGCGACTCTGAAAACATATTTAGGAGCACCAGTGAGACTGACCCGATCATCATATGCGTGTTTGCGCTGAGGGAGCTTCAAAGGCTCTAACGTAGCCTACTTGCGTGTTTCTGCATCGTTGAGTAATGTATCACAGACGTATCCTCTCATTACTGCGTGCGACTATGAAATAATATTTAGGAGCACCTGTGCGACTGACCCGATCAGCATATTTGTGTTTGCGCTGAGGGAGCTTCAAAGGTTCTAACGTACTTGCGTGTTTCTGCAGCGTTGAGTAATGTATCACAGACGTATCCTCTCACTATAACAAACAAAGTGTTAACGGTGTAAATAAGAGATTCATTGTGCCATGTAGGGAGCTTCGTCGATTATAATGGAGTTTTGTGAGATCAATGAATGATTCAGTGATCAAATCAGTGACTTGCCGCCACCTGCTGGCAGTTTTAGTTTCATTTTTAAAGTATATTTTCTGTTATTTAAATCATTTAATATTTCTATATTCAAAATTTTATATTTAAAACATTAACCTCAACATGAATTTATGAATTTAATTGCACTCATGCGACCTCTGAGCCTCATTAAACATCTGAAAATATACCTACAAGCCACTTGTGTGTTCTTCTGTGCCAACTCTGTAGCACAAATTGATTTCTTAAATACTGATTTCATTTGATTGGTAACTTAGTCTTATTATACTTCTTATTCTACTTCTTTTTATTCTGTTGTTTTAATTAGAAATGTTAAAAAGCTTATAAAAATATATTTTTTTAATTTGACAAAAGATGACATACTTTTAATAAAGTTAGAAAAATGCCATTACAAAGGTAAAAACAAAATTCCCTGTAAATCACTTTAAGGAGTCAAATATCACCTGGTAATGGGAAGGTTAATTTTTTATCAGAATTTTTGATTACGGATTAGAAGGTGCTCCTAAATTTTTGACCGTGCTCCTAAATTTTTTTAATTAGGAGCACTAGCGCTCCTAAAAAGAAAAGTAAGCGTAGAGCCCCGATTATACATTTAAAAATAAGAAATATAATAGAATTAGAAATGTATTGACTATATTCATATATTTTTTAAATACTGTATAACAATAGGAGTATATATTGCATATAAAAATAAAAGAAAAAATATACTGAGTCACTTTTACAGGCCTGTAAAAAGACACACTTTTGAAATTCCTTGATATTTCTAGGTTTTTCAGGACCATGGAAACTTTAAACACTTATTTAAATTTTTATAAATCTACCCATGAAAAACAATATATTTTATATATTTTAACCGTCATTTAAAGCAGACGCTAATTACTGTATTTGCTGCAGCTCAAAACTTCTCGCATCACATTCCAAGACCTCTCTTCCCTCAGCTTCGACCTCACCATTACAGAAACAACAGCACTGGAATGCCAGTAATGCCGGGCCACACACTGGGCCAGCTAACACCCAGACATTAGACACCTGTTCTACCACTGCAGTTTAGATGACCTCCTCCACAAACACACACAGACAGAGAAAGAGAGAGACAGCACTTACCAGACTAATGAAACTTGCTAGTTGCTACTACCAAGACTTCTGCCAGCAACACTTACTGCATCAATATGCAGTCCTTCCTCTGCTTCTCATCTTTTATTTTGCACAGAGTAGGTTGCCTGACAACCTCACTGAATTAGTTAGTGCTGTTGTTGATGCTCTGCCTCTAAAAGCTGAGGAGCCACATGGTTGCATCAAACCGTGTATGAGGGTGTATCATGTTCAAGCCTTATTTTGATAGGAAATGTCTTCCTCATTCCCTCAATACTCCTTGCCGTTTCTTTGTAGTTGTGAAATTTACTAGGAATTTCTGAGTGAAAATTGTTTCATCTCTTTGGCAAACACATATAATGTTACGGATAGCATTAGCAAAACATCTAAAACAGTTTGAGGCATTTACACTTGGTCACTTCGAGCACCTTGAACAATCGGATTCCTATCGGAATGGTTATGTACGTTGCATTTATAAATTGACAATTAAGTACATCATGCAAAAAGAATACAAATCCAATCTGCTGTTCCTGTGTCTATCATAAAGCCACAAGGCAGCTAAATTTTCTGTTGAACAGTTTCTTCTGCTTGAATGTGGATTGCAGGTTTCTTAAATTTTCGTATGATAACATAATTATGTTTGAGAGAACTAAAGTTTATCTAACCTAAACAGCCAGATGCACTTACACTTGGCTGAGCCGCATCTTGTATGAATCTCAAACCACCACCTGATGTTTTCTATGCTCAAATGCATCTTGGAGGGCATTTAAACATGGTCATGATAGCTATACAATCAGTAAAAATGCATTATGCCAAGTGTAAATATTTCCTGAGTCTATGTTTGTATTAAAAGCCATGTGATCACAGTTTGATGATCACAGTAAGACCAGTTCATGTGTTTACAAGACACAAGCTTTGTTTTAGACCCATAAACAGGTGATGAACTGAAATGATCCATTCACATCACCTTAGTTTAACCCACCGGAAATTTCTTCTCCATTTCAAGTGGGTGTGTTCAGTATTTCATATTTCACTAATCCCGCAGGACCTCCAAAGAATACATTCCCTCCTGTCAGTACACATTAGACATGGAATCCAAAGGGATAGGGAATTCTCTGCATTCTCAACTCAGAAAAGAGATATGCTAACTGATCTCGAAGGACTTTAGTTAAAGTCACATAACGCATTGTGTTCCCTCTCTTGTTTAATTACTTGCACTTTAAAAGGTTACAGCCATCAAAAGAGGGAATGATCAGGACATGGATTGTAACATTAGCCTGTCAACTGACACTGCAAGACGATGAGTGAGTGAGTGTGTGTAAAGAGGTCAAGAAGTGGGGAGTCAGAGAGAGTGCAGACAGGGCACTTTTGAGCAGCGATATCTGACACAGCAGATAGCAATTCTCAAAACAAACCACTGTCTCCAGCGTTTGCCACAGGGCAGCAACACTGCGAAAACTCTCAGCATCTATTTGAACAAGTGTCAGAGTGTGTTCATTGTCATTTCATTACTTAAATACTTTATGACTATTTCACATTTGCTCTGGGTCAGAGAATAAACTATCACACTGCTTTTTCTGCTTTTACATTTCAATGGGCTGTTTGCTAAGGAAGATGCCAGAGGGCTGAACCTACAGAAGCCTCAAGGCCAAGTTATGAAAACATGCAATGAAATGCATAATAAAGTTTATTCTGGTTTGCACCATTTCTGTTTTGCCAAGAGGCCTTATCAACTAATGTTGAGAAACGTTACAGACTACAGCATGTCCAATACTAACCATATGCACATGATCAGGAATTGCGAAACATACAATCTAGACCAGTGGTTCCCAGCCCTGGCCCTGGAGGCACCCCAACACTGCACGGTTTGCAGGTCTCCTTAATCAAACACACCTGATTCAGGTCATCAGCTCATTAGTAGAGACTCCAAGACCTGAAATTGGTGTGTCAGAGAAAGGAGACATGCAAAATGTGCAGTGTTGGGGTGCCTCCAGGACCTATTCTAGACTATAACATTTATTCTTATTGGAGTATAAAAATTTATTTTTTATTACACAGGAATATTGTAATATATGATATGCAAGATAAATATCTAAAAATAAAAAAAGAAAGAAATTTAAACAAAATAAATAAAAACATGTAATTTAACTAACATTAATTGTGTTCTTTTATTGCAAAACAACAGAGTGATAATATATATGTGATAATA